GAACTGTTAGAATCACGCCTCTCCCTCTCTTCGCAATACCGTAGTCTTATCGGGTGCCGGGTCGATGTTAATATCAATGGCAGATCCTTCGTGTATGCCAGATAGCCTTGCTCTATCCTGTGAACTCTCTTCATGCCCCGGAAGCTTCGGCAGGTTCGCAAAGCGCATAGTATTGGTGTGTAGATCTGACAGGGTACCTGAAACCTGGAGTTGAAGGTATTGCCGAGTGTTCAGTGATGTTAGAAGTGAATTGGGATACACTATGCAGAGGTGAGCCGAAGTGTTATGCTCATTGCGTACAGAGCATGGAAGACTGACACCCCTGAACAATGAAGTCCAATGCCATTATCCATGCGTCTTGGTGCTCAACGGCCTGGAGGAAGTGTCAGAGTGACATAATCATCTTGCAGTATGGCATACATACAACGGCGAGCTCTCCAACGGCGACTAGTCTACGACGAAAAGCTTGAATCAGGCCACAGCTACAAACAGAAGAGAGACGGAACTTACAATATCAGCACACACCGGTTAACAGCGTAGATGATAAGTGTATTCAGGAGACGCTTTGTGCTAAAGCAGGCGTCATTAGAAATGGACCACTGAGCCGGACCGGAGTTACCTTGGAAATGCAGAGTCAGAGCGACTGCTGTAGAAGAGTACACAAAGTGACACGGTAATCAGGACCTCAATTAGTACGATGATGGCAAAAGCCGGGGTTAGAACGTAAAACTAGGAAGAACCAGTCAGCCGATGCACCAATTTCTCTCTTAATGGAACTACCGAGATCTGCGTAAGGACACTGGTCTTGTGAATGACAAACCTATACACAGGGGTTAACATTTCTGTGAGCATGGTTGGACAAGGGAAGCACTCCAGAACAGCCGCCGCTGCCTCTTGATTAGAATAGGCCTCTCGTGACCGGAAAAAAAAAGGACAAACCTATGCCAAACCCTGTTGAAATATCATTATACATGCTTTCTAAACTCATTAAAGAACGCACCAATCTGACCCAGTATTAATAGCATCTGTCACAATCCTGTTATTGCATGATATGTTTGCCATGGCAAGTAAATGTACTCACAATTGGGGCGGTCACCCACCACTTCACTTGAGGGCGACAGACTAGGTGCCGTCAGACAAGTCCCAAGAGCCGGTTTTAACACGACCTACGGTAATATATTTGATGGACGAAGAAGCTGGTAGCACCTAGTTTATGAACGTCAAGCCATAAGAGACAGTAACTTACCATTGTACTACAGCAACCATAAATACCTGCAGTACTGCTAAATCTTGTCATAAATAGTTTTGAGATGAATGGAACGCACGTGCACCAGAACAGATGCCTAAGCGTTCAAATCAGTGGCGGCTCCTGAGTAAAAGTTTGGGTATGCATACTTGGAATGACCTGCCACATCTCATCAATGGCAAGCAATTTCAATTGAGATAGAATGGTATGCGAACCAAACAATATGCCCCAAACTCTCCGGAATACCGTAGTTGGTTATCTGCCGTGATTGAGAACGGTAGCTACGAGGATTAGACGGGACGGTTTCACCAAATAGTAATACAACATATGACACACTGATCGGCTGTTAGCCATGCGTTCGCTTGTACACCGAGTACTTACTAAATGAAGTATGTAGGGTATCAAGGATCCTGACTTCACATGAGCAGATTTGACCGGCGTCCCAAGTTGGCCTAACTCACCATATGGCAGCAACCAGGAGCTTTGTGGCCGAGGCATCCTCAGGGTATTGCATGTAATACACATAAGTCTATACAACCAATAAGTCGGGCAACTGAACATTAGGTTTAAAACGTGCCTGGAGAATTGCTATGCCATATAACCTTGACAGGAAGTAAGGTAATGAGAGGAGGATATGTGACGAGGTCAAGCAAAGCCATACGTACATGACGGAGATCAACACCCCGACGAGGACAGAACCTGTATTGCAAATACATGAGCGGTCAAGACTGTAGTTAGCTACTTATGAATTGAAGGTCTTCACCGAACCCGCCCGGAATGCCCATGTCGTTTAGTATAAGGGGGACTTGCCAATGAATTCACAGTGGGCCGTGAATGGAGAGCGTGGCGAGGGCCTATCAATCCGTCAACAGAGAAATCCGATTCTATGATTTAAACGACGAAGGCTGCATTAATATAGTCAGGAAGAACCGCGTTACCCCGAGCAGTGCATTTTACGAGGTAGACTAAACCGTGAAAGAACGTTCTCGATGTCAACTCCAAACGTTCCATCCGCAGCTCTATTACATAATAGATAAGATAGACTTCTTGCTGCTGCGGTATAATGTACCTACTTAGAGGTGAGACTGAGCATACACTTAACGCAGCCTTCGCCAGTCGGGCCTGACTCGGAACGGGACGACTAGTGTCAGTGATCATCATGGCTTGGTGTGTGCCTCCGTTCGCAGATGTCGCAGGGAACTCATAACAATACCGAAGCCGAAATATCCCAGTCCCTCAAGGTATCCGAATGCACCAACAACGATACCCCCGCGTCAAGGACAAGGTGTAAAGGAAGACGGGAAGATAGCGAGACACACCAAAAGCCTGGCGACACAGCAGTGGTAAAATTCGTAAGAGCCAAGTGTCCAAACAGGGGATCAAAGCGAGGGTACGTATATCCGGAGGTATCCGCTCATCTCCATTACTCCTTCAAGACGAATCTCGGTGCCGTGCGCATGTAGCATGACATGTTGCCTTCTCTTCCTCCTCTTGCCTGGGCATCCCACTCGTTCTTTGTGGAATAAAGTAGGCCAATACCCTGTTACTTGTGTCTTTTCGATGCTGAAGTGGACAGCACGGGTTACATGTTCGCCGAGATATCAGCTTGCAAATCCGACGAACCACTTCTGGCGTTGCTTGTATCAATGAGGTGATTCCTGCCCCCCCCCATAAAAAATGCGATTAATTATACCATTCGCCGTCGGGATTGACCTCGACCTTATTGCCATCCGAGGACTACCAAAGGTACAATCTTGGTCTGGTACTTGTCCGCCTTCAGCGTATTTTCCCCTCCATCACTCACAAACAATGGCGCAGAGTAATATTGTGGACAGGGTGCCTGCAGAGGTATCTGCTACACCCGGCAGAGTTCTGCAGACTTGATCATTTCTTTGCCTGGGCAGCGGGGTCTCCGTATCAGAAATGAAAGTCGTGGTTCTAGCTTTCCTTAGAAATATTTCTTGCTACAGGCCGTCTTTCGTCTGTTTCGTGGGTGTGGGGATATGGATAGTCATCCGGAAAGCCCTGCGTCAGCTGCAGGTGGGGACGAAGGTAACGACTTGAGTAATCAGGCCCAACTCGGGGCTAGTTCCTCGCAACGCAAAATGTAACGCTCAGTCCTTGCCTACACATGTATTGTGGTACGTTTTTTTGTCGGTATTAATCAATGTAAATGACATACCGTCGTGAATGGAGTAGAAAGTGCACATTTCAGCACCAGAACCAAGTTGCGGAATCTGGGCGGCGGTGTACCGGAAATTGTTATCTTCGCGTATCGTAGCTGTACGAGCTGGAGAGGGAAAGGTGTGGGATTGGTAGCTGTATGATACGTATGGGCAGGAGTGGGCGAAGGCGCGAAGTGCCTTCCAGCCGTGATGAGAGGGTGATCTGAGACGAGCGTCAGCTGCGGATCCCGGGTTTTAGGAGGGCCTTGTCCGACGCGATGGGCTGACGCTCGGATCCCCAACAGATAGGAGGACAATGGCGTTTACTCACGATACATGTTTGTGGGCTCAGCGGACTGGTGGCATGGCGATGCGTACAAAATCGGTAGCCATTTCTGTAGGCATGGCTTGTATGTATGGTGCGAGGATTTGGTTGTGTTTCCGTAGATAGAGTTGAAATGCGTCACTCGCCCACCTCCCTTTGACTTTCATAACTTCGAAGGGAACTCCTCGGAGTAGATATTCCAGCATGGCTCCTATCCTCAGTCCATGTCTGTGTACGTGGTCGTGCCCCGCTGCTTTGGCTAGTTTCTTCATTCGTGAGATGAAAGTGTGGTGGGCTAGCAGTCGATGTTCGCCTCCCTTTTTGTACGCGAATAAGTGACCATTCTCGGGTGGACTGTTGATTAGTAGGTGCCAGGTGAATGCTGCGTGGGGGTTGGATGGGCCTGATTGTTTCGCCCAGTTCACCTCTTCTCCCCGGGGGTTAGATTTTGTACTCGACAGTAGGAACACTGTTGTGCTGAGGCTGTTTTGGTCGATGTCTTCGCATACTCCTTTGGGGGTGATGTGGAGTGCTGGGTCGAAGGAGTCGAGGCATTTGACAGTGAACTCTCCTACTCTGGCAGCTGCATAGAATATGGTGGTTAGGCAGGTGAAGACTGCTATGTCCATGGGGTCCTTGCTCTGTAGCTGCCTGTGAACATCACATATCATCTGTACTGTGATTGGTCTCCAGAGGTTCTGTTTGGAAGAGGAGGGGGCTATCTTGGTTGCACCTTTTAACATTGTCACTATCTGGTCCTTGTGTATGATCCAGGGCAGACCATTGAGAGTGTGCCAGGCATGCACACTGTAGATGTAGCCATGTATCATCTTGCCTGAGTAGGAGCCAGCTAGGGATGATATGAAGGTGGAGATCAAAATAGTGTCTGCAGGGGCTCTTTCCTCCTCTGGGATGTCCAGGCTATCACAGAAAACATGGTATACTAGGAGCCCAGCCCCATACAATGCTCTGGTGCTCTCATTCCATCCCCTGAGGGTGACATCTCAAACCCTATCCCAGAAGTCTGGTGGGATGTTCAGAGACTGTGCGATGCTGGGATGCAGTTGCCATTGCTCTAATCTGCCTTTTGCTGGGCATAATGGCTGCAGTTCAGATGGTTTTGGCATCAGGTTTGTCAGGTAGGGGAGAATGATGGTAGGTTTCTGTGAAGAGTGTGATTGCTGGGCAGCTGGTGTTGTGATGGTGTTAAGGAAATTTATGTTGGACTGTGAAACTGCTGGAGCGTGGGTCATCAAAATTGAATATGAGGTGTGCAATGGGGTCTGGGATTGGGATGGGGGGGAGAGCAAATTCAGAGGGGGGATAGATGCCCTGAGAAGGTTTGTCTGCTGGGTTGTCTTCACTTGGGATGTAGTCTGTGAAAATTCTGCACAGGGGAGAGGTGAGTAGAGTGTGGATCCTTCAAAAGGTTTCATTTGTGGGCCTGTTGTTGCTTCATCCTTTCTTCCAAGCCTTGATGACTCCCTCATTGTCCCCAAAGACATGTAGAGGTTTGGGGGAGGGACAGATGTTGAGGAGGTAACATACAAGGAATTCGAAAGCCATGCTCTCTGCCCAACCAATGTCCCTCTTGTCTCCCTTCCAGTTTGCATGCAACTTCCAGGCTCTCCATCTTTCCCTGATGATGATTGCCAGACTGACGCTGGAGCTGGCATCTGAAAATGCACAGAGGTCTATTGCTGACAGGTGGATGGGGATGGGGATGGGGAGAGATTGTTGTAGGGTGTTTTTCCACCAGCATAGTTCATTTTGTAAACCTCAAGGTGGAGTGCAGGGCATGAATGGTTTTTCACTGAAAATGGTAAGCATAGCTTGTAGGGATGTTAGGTAAGCACTTCCCCCTGGGATTACTAGCACTGCATGGGCAAGTCTCCTGTGGAGTTTCTGTACCTCTTCTAGGTTATGTGCTTTCTTTTTCAGCCATTCATCTATAGATGTAGTGTATTTCTCTCTTTTGTTTGCTGTGAGACCTACTGTTTTTTCATCTAGGTTCCATAGGAAACCCATGAATGTTGGTGACTGGGAAAATGGGGTGTCCTTGGAGGGTTCCCAGGGTATTCTGAGTTGATCCACTACCACATCAATATGTTTGAAGGAGTAGGTGTAAGCATCATTGTGCAAGGCAAATTCATTGGTGTCCTCAAAGGTTTTTAGGGGATGGAGGCAATCTTCTGTGAGTTCTTCATGGTCTCCATTGGCTAGTGTTGCACCTTTGTACCATAGCCATCCATTGTCTATCTTTGTTCCTCCATTTTGTGAGATTGTTTTGGCTTTCTGGGCCCTGATGAGGTTGTATTCAAGTACTTGGGATCTGGGTAAGCATATGAAGAAATGGTCATCTACCCATGCTATTATGGGGCCAATTCCCTCAGCTCACATGATATCCAAACTTGCATCCCTGAGTCCCCCATAGACTCCTGCTGATGGTCCATACCCAAAACACAGTGCTGTATCAACAGCAAAGGTCAGTGGTGTTTCTGAGAGGTGCACTACCAGACCTGGCCACTGGGATGGGTAGATGGGTATTGTCCTATAGGCTTCTGCTACATCTCTTGTTGCTCCTTGGCATCCTGGGGGGAGCGACACTATTAAAGCACATATTGTGAGGAACATTCCCAACATGCATGGGAATAAAGAAGAATCAACACAAGAGTCGATCGAAGCAGTGACACCATGTCTAGGTACAATAGGGTAAGATAGGTTTTGTATTAGTCAATACTTTCCTGGTTTTCCAGGTTTTGGTATGATACTAAGGATGGAGGATTGGAAGGGTCCTATGTACTGTTCGAGGAGGTGGGGAGGGAAAGGGCCTAGATAGCGACTCCATGCAAACTCTCTGTTGACTATCTCCTGGAAAGCATGATGGTGTTGGGCTATAGATGGGCTGTTTGGGGGGGTGTATGTTCAGGGTATGTTAGGTATGTGGACATGGAAGCCATAGGTGAGTTGGTAGATTAGGGATGGGTATTTAGAAGTGAGATGGTGATGCACAAGTAGTCTCTCCCAGGCTTGAGGGTGGTATGGAGTTAGGGTGACTCCTCTCTGTCTTGATTCAAGTGGGTTGGCAGTGGGGACAGTCCTGAGCTCTGTGCTTTGAGTCTCCACAGCCCAAACACTCGTGGCAGTGCAATTTGCTTGTGCAGCCACAGGGGTGTTGGAAATCCCAGCAGAGGATGCAGCTGCTCTTGTTGACAAGGTGGCCTTGATGGTCCCATGTGCAATAGGCTGGGGTTTGTTATGCCCGAGTGTGGTGACTTCTTCAAATGGAATAGGCATGAAGCGCGCGAGGTGGGAGTCTACAGGCCGAACTTGTTGTAACCCCTATGGCTGAGTTATTGCAATAATCTGACAGAGGTTCTGTCTGCTGGCGAGTCCCTAAGGTTGTTTGCGCAGTGTGAGTCAAAGTGAGGTTCAGTGGTGAAAACCAACCAAAACCAACACAAAAGACAATGAAAGTGAGTGGTGGTGTGCCTATGTGGTACCTAGATGGTAGAACCTGTTCTTTGGGAGGGTTTTTGCGAGCTACAACACTCAAAGATGAGTGCTGAGGGTTGGGGGTGCTCCTGATGAAGAGGGAGCAAGAATGTGATAGAAAGCGATAGGGTAGACT